TAGATAGATAGATAGATAGATAGATAGATAGATAGATAGATAGATAGATAGATAGATAGATAGATAGATAGATAGATAGATAGATAGATAGATAGATAGATAGATAGATAGATAGATAGATAGATAGATAGATAGATAGATAGATAGATAGATAGATAGATAGATAGATAGATAGATAGATAGATAGATAGATAGATAGATAGATAGATAGATAGATAGATAGATAGATAGATAGATAGATAGATAGATAGATAGATAGATAGATAGATAGATAGATAGATAGATAGATAGATAGATAGATAGATAGATAGATAGATAGATAGATAGATAGATAGATAGATATAGATAGATAGATAGATAGATAGATAGATAGATAGATAGATAGATAGATAGATAGATAGATAGATAGATAGATAGATAGATAGATAGATAGATAGATAGATAGATAGATAGATAGATAGATAGATATAGATAGATAGATAGATAGATAGATAGATAGATAGATAGATAGATAGATAGATAGATAGATAGATAGATAGATAGATAGATAGATAGATAGATAGATAGATAGATAGATAGATAGATAGATAGATAGATAGATAGATAGATAGATAGATAGATGGAAAGTATTGATATATAGACATATTGGAAACTGTAGAACTTATGCAAAATTTCTGAATATCGCAAAAGTAAAACTTTGCTCTATTAGACACTATATCTTTATATATGCATATAGCCTGGAGATATTTCCTTGAATAATTATTTTTCAAAAGAAAATATGACCAATTTTCAAATGGCTTTATCCTTATTAAGACTGAATAGACTTGAATACAAGATCAAATATAATTATATTTAAATTATTATATCATTTAAAATTGAATAAAATCCTACAAAATTAGATAAAAATGTAATCTTAGAAGGGGTTCTGTGGATATTATGGTAATTTAATAGTTGAGATCATGTAGAGGAGTCCTTCCAGTGCTTCCATGTTTTCCATGGTGGTCTAGCTTCAATTGACTCACGATATCAACTATTGAAGTTACTATAATATCCGCAAAACCCCTTCTGATACTAATCAACATATGCTCACTAATGACTGTCTTCAAGTGGTATTTCCTAGAGTTCTAGTGAGATTAAGTGACCAATGGAGTTCAACCTGGTCTGTAACTCACTTAAGACGATGGTGGATGCGTCACTCAATTTTACGGATTAGTTGAAGTTAGACATTAACACCGTTGGATGCCGGTCGGCCCAGTTGTCTATAGGTTAAACGTTTGCGTACGATACGGAGGATCCTGAATTCCAGTCCCTCATACGAGATCGTGAATTCGCACTGCTGAAGAGTTGTATACTTGGAAGAATTGACCATCCAATGCTTCCAGGTTTTCAATGGTAGTCTAGCTTAAATTGACATATGAATTCAACTAATAAAATTACTATAATCTCTCATTCTGTTAAAAGCATAAGTTCGGGGGAAAATACAGTTTTTCAAATTATTCACATCATAGTAATAATAATAATAATAGTAATATTATTATTAATAATAATACTGCACACACATATGTATATATATGATGTTTCATCCACCTACGCAATCACTAATCATCCAATCATTTATTTGTAATTTGTGTGGGCGGTAAACAGAATAAAACCAAATCACAAAGAACACGTACAACAATTATCAATGGAATTAATCAATCACTGAGTCGAAATTAAAAAGAAGAAAAAAGTAATGACAACAACTCAAATTCAGTTAAGTAGAAAGAAAATAAAATAAAGAATAACAATAAAACCTACGCAATAATTCAAGTAGACAATAAGTTAAAGTGTAATTGAGTAGACAAGCTTATTGTACTAGAACAAATGAGTAATTAATTAATTAATTACTTACTTACTTACTTACTTACTTACTTACTTACTTACTTACTTACTTACTTACTTACGCCTGTTACTCCCAATTGTAGAATAACGTTTTGTAATTAAATCGCTATGTCTTGTGACTGACGTTCGGTACGACCTTACTGTAATTGCGGAATGGTTAACCTTATTCTAATACAAATGGATTTTTATGGCAGATTCGATAAAACGGCAATCGCCGCACAGTACTTCATAAATAATTCGCTATTACGAAGAAACACAGGAAGAAGATGAAAATACGAAAAACCTGACAATCAAGTAGACGTATTACAAGTGAATAAATCTGTATAAAAACAGTAACAAAACATGATCCCGAAGAACACAAAGAATTACGGAACCTTAAGTACTAACACTCAATCAGAAAAGAGTAAATGTAATAAGAAAATTAACATTAAGAAATAAAAAGTATCCACGGTTATAGTTACTTGTAAGAACTTAACATTTATAATCACGTAATCTCTTTAACAAACCATATACTCTGAATAAATCACATAGATTTTGAACTCAATCACATATGAGATTGGAAAAAAAAGGTTCTATGTTAAAGAATATGGTACTGAGAAACGAACAATAAATAAATATTATATTAATTTTAATAGTTGAAATCATGATTCAGTTGAAGCTAGACCACCATAGAAAACTTGGAAGCATTGGATAGCCGTTTCGTCCTGGGTTCAAATCTCGCGAGGCAAGGTAGTGAATGTGTACTGCTGAGAAGGAAACAGCCATCCAGTGCTTCTAGGTTTTCCATGGTGGTCTAGTTTCAACTGATTCATGATCTCAATTGATGGTAATGAATACCTTATAAACATTGAATCAAAACTTGATCTTAATTATTCAATACATACTCATGTATCTTTCAATTCTGTTACTTAATCAACTTAATTGTAATTAATAAACATGATTGGATTGTAATTACTAATAAACTCATTCAATTCAACTACTATTTTCTTTTGGTAACTTTTATTCATTAATTTAATTAATTAATTAATTAATCTTTTCTGCTTGATTGGTTATTTTACTATTTACAATGTATGATGTATAGATTTAGTAATCATATATACAAATAAGTTAATCAGTAGTACTTTGACAAGTAGTATATACATATATATATATATATATACATAAACTAGAATACACTAACTCCTGTGAATTTAAACCGACATAAGTTTCCATTTAGAATTATGTATGTATATATGCTTGATTAATGAACCATTAAATAGAATGATATATTCTTTTCAAAGAGATTTCAATATATCATCCTCATTGATGATATTTTTAGCTTTGAGTGTAAAATACATTGTTTTTTCTTTATTTATACTAATTGCTTTCTATTTCCGCTCTTCCTTTCTTGATCTTCCCCATCTTTTGCTGCCAGGCATTACATTCCTGACTTGCGTCATATACTACTTATATTAATATAAGTAGCACGCATCACAGTAGAATAACATATTTAAACAAATAGAAATCATTTTTAGACTATGATAAGAATAAATTGTTATGTATTATTAAAGTGGAATTCATGAATCAATCTAAGTTAGACACTCATTGAATATCTGGAAGCAATGGACAGTCGTTTTGTCCTAACACAGGACTTCTTAGAGGTATAGATCCGTAATCCTTCGGCAAAAAGGACTCGAACTTTGGATCTTCGATTTCGAAAATACTAATCATTTGCTCATTACTGAATAGCTTGAAGATAGATTTTTTGAACTTCTAGTAGAAGATATGACCTGTGAAGTCCAATCCGTGTCAGGTATGAAATAATTATCCACTTCAGACGACGGATGAAAGGTCGCTCAAGATCATGGATCGATCGAAGTTAAACATGAACAGTTTTGAATGCAAGTTAACTCAGTGGTCTAGATGTTAAGTGTTCGTGCACGATACCGAAGGTCCTGGATTCGAATCCCATGTGTGTGATCGTGGAGGCACACTGCTGTAGGAATCCCATACTGATTCCGAGAAGCACCAAGTTGTATCGCCTCATTTTTTATCAAATTGACTGGTCCTTCCTGTCTCACGCATTGTCCAAACATTCCGTGTACCTATGTTAATTGTTACTCTGGTTGTTGGAAGGAGAGTCTGTAATGTGACTTCCGAAGAACCTCCGCCTTCATCATAGGGTGTCATAATTCTTCCTTTGCAAGATTACAAGTACGCTTTGCTGACGCATCACAGTGAAAAACCTTGCCTTCGTGGTGTGTCCTGCAAACTGCATCCGTTCAAAGTAACTATAGGTGTAACTCAAGAATATGAGCTCCACTAGATGCATGCCAACTTTCGAATCAAATGTCCCAATACATTTGATGAATATTTTCACACTTATCTCAGTCTTCATTGAGTACAATGCAATATCATCTTCTTTAATGTGTTTTTACATTAAACGAAATGTCTCTATAGTATTTTCAATCACTTTCAATGGTTTATCGATCTATAATAGTAAAATACACTAAAGTTTCAATCATTCCGTTATGTGAAACTTTCATATCATTGTGGAGTCATTGAATAAATTTTACAGTACAAATAATAAACGATCACTTTTGAAAATGATCTTTTCCAAAATTGCATTTACTTACTTTTACTTACGCCTAATATTCCTAATGGAGCATAGGCCACCTACCAGCATTCTCCTACACACTGTGTCCTGGACCTAACTTTTTAGTTCTATCCAACTGTTGTTTATTCTTCCCACGTCTATCTCTATTTCTTTCTTTTTTACCTTGACCTTGAGGATTCCAAGTGAGGACTTGCCTTGTGACGCAGTTAGGTACATTCCAACAATGTGTGTCCTATCCACTTCCAGAGCTTCTTCCTGATTTCTTCCTCCGCTGGGCTTTGATTTGTTTTCTCTCACAGTTTAAGTAGTTTGAATCATTTTTTCTGGTTAGCGTTTTTATAGCGAATTAGTTTTCTACGGGATGAGGTCGCTAACCCCATGCCCAACCCTCCTCTTTTATCCGGGCTTGGGACCGGCAATAGCCACAGAAGGCATCCAAGCGGAGTTCAAAAGTTATACATGGAGAAATGTTAACGATTCTAGGAGAATAACAATAATTATGTTTTCTGGCTTTTTCTTACAGTTAAGGAATCAAACGGTTACGGCGATTGCACAAAACAGAAAACTGAAAATCAATAAACAATGTCACTTTTATTTCAAACGACCATATTTATTGGTTATTTGGTTTCATTATCAACTCAAACCAATATTGGTAAGTTTAGTAATGAGAATATTTATGCACAAAAAATATGTACAATGATATCGATTGATTTCAAGGAAGGTTCTTTAAATTTAAGAAATTTTCTTTTACCAAATTCATTCTTTCATCTTCTTTCTTTGTTTATATCATAAACTGATTTTAGTTAGATAACCATTGAAAATCATTAAGTAGTATTCTATTCTATTCTCATGATTAATTGTTGTATCCATGTTGCTTATTATTTATACTTGAGAGAACGATGAACCAAAGTGCGATTCTTACGAGGCAAAGTAAGAACATTAAGACTGGTGAAAGTGAAGATTCATTAAACCCAAAGTATGACGATGATCCTAGTCGAAAATACACTCAGTGTATACTGATTGTTCATCCATGTTGACTGCTAATTAGAATAAACTCATATATATAATACCCAGAGATATAACAAAATCACATGTTGTCTATCATGCTGAGCATAGTTCACGTTAATTTTATGTAATAATATCATGTCCTGAGATTACTTGCTTATATACTTACGCCTGTTACTCCTTGTGGAGGAGAATTGGCTACCCAGCAGCATTCTCCACTCAATCCTATCCTGGGTAATCCTTTCTAGTTGTTTCCAGTTGCTATTCATCCTTTTCATGTCTGCTTCCAATTACCGACGAAGTGCATTCTTTGGTCTTCCTCTTTGCCGTTTCCCTTCAGGATTATAAGTTAGGGCTTGAAGCGTGATACAGTTTGGTGATTTCCGTAATGTAAATTCTACACACTTCCAGCGTCTTTAACCAATTTCCTCTTTAGCTGGAATTCGGTTTGTTCTCTCCTACAGTAGGCTGTCTCTCATGGTATCCGGACAACGGATATTGAGTATCTTGTGTAGATAACTATTCATAAATACTTGCACCATTTTAATGATAGTTGTAGTAGTTCTCGAAAATTCATCTCCGTACAGTAGAACTGTCTTGACGTTTGTATTGAAGGTCGTGACTTTGATGTTGATTGACAATTGTTTTGACTTGCATATATTCTTCAATTGTAAGAATGCGGCTCCTGAGATAACATCACGCTCACATAAATTGATGTTTTATCGAATAAATTATCACACTGGAAAACAAAACAGATAATACACTGAATAATCATCATACTGAATTAAAAACGGAAGTAATGCTGAACAAGAATCACAATAAGTTAATAATGCAATTTCGTCTTCTCATTCTGTTATATCAGTTTCATTCTAGTATGAGAATCATCACTAGTGCTTGTTCATGACTCCAGCACTAATCAAATCAATTACCTTTGAGTTTCCAAGGGGAATTCTTTATCTTCAGACTACAGATCCAAGATCCACTAGTTTACATCCTTGACTTCAATCGATTCATAATGTGGCGTAACCATTTGTCAATGGTATTAGGGTAACTATATTACACCCAACATTGTTAAGCTCCATTAGTTATGATTTCCCATTAGAATCGATTATTCTTTCTTGTGTAGAACTATTATCACTGAAATGTCATAATATATTATTTGTCCGGTCGAACTTATCAAATTGGAATTATGTTTTGATTTGTAGTGTCTGTTCAACAGTACATTCACGACATACCCTAAATAAACAGTCAAAATTTGTACATAACTAGATCACATGTAGTACAAAATTGAGTAATCGGTAAGTAAAATGTAAACTTAAATTCAGAGCAGTATAAAAATGCTGTATAACAAATTTCAGTCAGACTATAACATATGGATGACTTTTGGGCGACGCTAGAATGACCTTGACAGTGTCCACTTAATAACCAGGATCAAATGATAGTTATAAAACTGTGTGAGGAATACGAGCTGACATCAGCTATAATGCCAAAACTCAATTTATCCAAATGGATGAGCGAATTTCGCGCCAAAATTCGAGTCCTATTATTTTATACGTGATTGGTTCGTCCATAAATTATAATCTCGCCCAAATATCTAATTAAAGCACAATGAAATTAGATGTCTTTATATAACAAATTGCCGTTAAATTGTTTTAAATGTTCCATCCATCTCATTTATGTAACTATATACAGAAATAATTTATGCGTAAAGAATGTTTATCTTAGAAATTTGTCAGGCCTAAAAAAATAAATATTCAGTTAAATAATTTAAAACTCCGCCTGGAGTTCCCTCGGGGGCTACTGCCGGTCCCAAGCCCGGATAAAGGAAGAGGGTTGGGTATGGGGTTAGCGACCCCATCCCGTAGAAAACTAACTCGCTAAAAAAACGCTAGCAAGAAAAAAATTATTCAAATCTTTAAGTAAATACTTTAAAATTTGAATAATTAATCTAACTTTAAAATAATTACTATCAGACAGGGATTTTGTAAACATTGTAGTAATTTTACTAGCTGAATTCATCAGCCAATTGAAGCTAGATCACCACTGAGAACTCGAAAGCACTGGACGGTCGTTTCATTCTAGCATGGGACTTCTAAACAGTGCGCATAACGACTTTGTTTGTGGGACCTAAACCCATAGCCTCCGGTCTCGCTTGTGAACGCTTAACCTCTAGACCACTAAACCGGTACCCATTGTTGTTAATGTCTGACTGCTGAAGAGTCCCATATTAGAACGAAACGGCCTTTTAGTGCTTTCAGGTTTTCCATGGTGATCTAACTTTAATTGACTCATAAATTCAACTGTTAAAATTAATATAATTCATTGTTTAAATATATAGGAAATCCAATAAACAAATCTGTTATTGTGACCGGTAAATAAGAGAGAATAAAACTAACACTGATGATAATAAGTAAATGAATAGAGAAGTTCAGTTGGGTAGTGACAATGATATCAAGTGGATTAATAATTAAATGACCATGTAATTCATATGAGTGAGCATAAAATTAATTATTTAACTAATCATGTCACGCTGTAGGTAAGTTAACATGGGGAAAAAAGAACATTATTAGCATGAGAAGAGAGTTGTTTGCACTATTGAATGTTATGGTTTATATAATAGACTTAACGTAGTTAGAAAACTATTAAAAACTAAATAGTACTAGATAACATAAAATGGTATAAAAGAGCACAATAACATAAACTAACCAATTCTGGCATCCAGAGCTTTCAAGTCTTCTGTGCAGTACTACATCAGGACGAAACAGCCATCCAATATCTCCTTTTTTTCCAGTGAATTTTTAGTTAAATCTATTCTGTGAAGCTTTATTCAACATTATATTTTTAGTACAACATAGAATTCTCAGCATAAAGTATTTCAACAAGTTTCCTTTTCTTATACCTTGATCGATTGTGACGATAAATTTTGAATGATGACCAGTTAGATGTTAGGAGTTCGGTAGTCCACATTTGATTAATGTTCATTCGTTTCAATGCATATTGTCGGCCACCTTGATGTCGTTGATGGTACTTTTTTGTATGCCGTATAGCGAAAGGTTGTAAACTTTTCATAAACGCGCCTGAATAGATTGTTTGCACAATAGACATAATGATGTGCTAAAACAAACAATAAAACAGATAACTTGATGAAATATGTAGATCGGAGGAACAAGTAGCCCAGATATTCAAGCAGGCCACCTTGGAAAATAAACTTAAAAATGATCACCAAAAATGTTGAGTAATAAGCAGTGTGTGAATGATTAGTTAAATATTACATAAGGAGTAAAGAAGAGAATATGCAAAAAGGAGTAAAGAGGAACAAATAAGCAAAAGGGTAAAAGTAATCCTCAGACTAAGTAAGAAATAGATGAATTACAAACTTCCTCGACATCCAAGGATTACGCTTGTAGGCTTGAATGACCACAGTCTACTCTATACATAACGAAAGGTATATACTTTTTGTATTATGGACTCATGAACTGTCTTAACTGATTTAATATTCTTCACATATACACTTACATATTACTGAATATTCGAATGAAGCCTTATAAAGATCCAACTGAAAACAGTTTTGTTATTGCAAAAAATTTTAAACGATGAACTAACTTTAAATAAATAACGAATAAAATCGAGAACTTACTTCATCGCTGTTTTTTCTCGTTGTATGGCTCTTCAGGAAGCCTGAAACTTATAGATTGAATGATATTATGGATTTATATCTTCCGTTCTAACTAAAGAACTAATGTGAATAGAAAACTCAGTACACAACTATTTCATATGAAATGCTATGAAAAGAACTTTTAAAAAGAAGTCTCTATCGTTTGTTTTGTTTTTTTTCATTTTTCAGGGCATTCATGGAACAATCATCACTGGGACCTAGAAAAGGAAACACAACAACAACAACAATATCAAGATGACATTGATCGTATTGATGAGCATAATGATGATGATGATGATGATGATGATAATGCTAATGACGATGATAATCAATATTTGTATTTATTTAATTTAAATAGACAACCATCCTATTCAACTAACTTCAGGCGTAAAGTATTTTCAAGTCCAAAAATCAATTTACCTATTGATATAGATGAAGATGTTGATAAACTACAAGAATCGACTTCTTCTTCTTCTTCTTCGCCTCCTACAGATGAAAACATTGAATATTTAAATCTAATTTGGCCAAATCTAATTTATTACAGAAATCCTTTAAAAAAACGTGATTGGTTGAATGAAAATACTCAACTAACGGATAATAGTCTGATTGTAAAAAAAATGCCAGAAACTATAAAATGGTCTACACCAATTCAACCGGGCAATTCAAAAGATTTACGTAAATTACGTAATCTAGATACATTTAATACAGAACAATATAAACATCGAGATGGTAAGTTTATAATAATCTAGTTCATTGTCTTGTTTGTTTACATTTTTATTCATTCAAGAGAAAAAAGTTAGCAGTAATAGAAATGGTGGCATTGCAGAAAGATGATCCCACGAGGCGGTGTCGTGGATGCGCTGAGGAGTCCCACAATAGAACCAGATGGCCGTCCAGTGCTTTCAGGTTTTCCATAGTGGTCTAGCTTCAATTGATTCATAATCTCAACAATTGGAATTAGTACAATTTCCAAAAAACCCTTCTGATACTAATTTATTTGTTTGACAAAAAATCAGATTATTAATCGATCAATAATTGAATAAAGTGTGTTACTTGAAAGACTATCATTTCTCTCTTTCTTCCATCAATATCATATTGTAGGGTAAAGGCAGTTATTAAAGTTCAGAAGTGGTAAGTATTCGACAGCAGGAAATGCATCATGTTCTATTTAGGACTCGTCATCTGGATGTATTTGTATTTCAGGTTGATGTTCATACTGTAACTCAAGCCTGCTCTGTTTCGATCTAAACACCAGCTACTGAGCTCGGAAAGCCACCAACTTGTTTAAGAAGTATGAATTTCATTTTTAAGAGTTTATACTTTTTTATTGTTAATTTTAATGAATGGATTTAATCAGTCTCTATAACTACAATTGATACCTGAATGAATCTTTACTTGTAATTAGATTTTAAACATTGAAGCATACCATTCAAGCTACATATATATCAGTAGAGATTGGTCATTTGTGCTCTCTAACATCAACAGTGAGAACTCCGAGAATCCCATCTCGAAGTTAGTCTCTAGTAAGTAAATGACAGTTTCCAGTTTAGGATTGTGGAGATTGTTGAAGTTCATTGAAATCGTAAACTGATCATGAACCGTGACCAATGGAGTTGAACTCTGTCGGCTGTGATACAGTTACCCATCGAAGACAATGGAAGATGATCAACAATATCGTGGATTAGTTGAAGTTAGGGATTAACATCGTCGGATGCCAGTGGGCTCAATGATCTAGATATTAGGCGTTAGGGAGAGACCGGAGATCCTGGGTTCAAATCCCGCGTGCGGGATTGTGGATGCACACTGCTGACGGCTGTTCAGTGCTTCCAGACTTTAAATGGTGGTCTAACAACGGTCGATTCATGAAATCAATGTAAGTATAAGGAACCTCGAACATATTGTGTTAAGTTAAAATCCTCGTATATCTAAGGATTCAGCAATCCCTATTTTTATGAGAGGTCATTCACGACCCAAACAACTCAACGTTATCATCTAATCACCGAACAATCAACAAACTTTGTATTCGCCTTACAATTCTTGCCCATAGTACTATATAAGTCAACTTGAAATCAACTTTGTATGCACATGCATCCTTCCAACCATTTCATTCTAGTTTAAAAATCATCTTTGATTAAGTTCATCAACAAACCGTTTCAATTCTAAAAAGCCGTTAGGTATGTCCTGACTAATACGGTGTTGAATCTTCTGTTTATCATTCATTTTAATATCGTTATCGAGTCACACAAAGTCTAAACATTATGGTTCGCATCAAAAACTGACCATAGTTACTCATCAATTGCAAACCAGGAAGCAACGGATAATTGCTTCATCACAGTAAATGTTCCTGATCAGTGCATATCCACGACACCAATTCTAGAAATACAGGCTGTGAAATTCAGGTGTCAGAATTAACACTGAATCGTCATCTAATTTTAACCAGCTTGCGGTATTTTCTGATCATCTTTCAATCCCATTAGTAAGTAACTGCTTCACACTCGAAACCCGGATGTACCTGCATCCCAGAATTGATGTTTACTCCATGTTCACTCCAAAGCTCAAAGCCAGTACCGTTCGCTTCAAACGCGATCACGTTATCCACTTAACTAATGAGTCCCGACAGCCACTTGCTTATGCAATGAGATGAAGTTAAAATTCATTTTGGTATTGTTTGTTTGAATATTCCCATTGATGTTCAGGATTCAGTAGCTAAGTGGATAACGTGATGACATTTGAAGTAAACGATACAGGGTTCTACTCCCGGAGTGAACATCAACTCTAGAATGCAGGTACATCCATCTGATTAATCCAAAATAAGACGAAACACTCATTCTGGGTTCCATCGCTAACCTCCATACTTGTGAATTAAGGCAATATCAAGGCAGTCCGCACAGGATGCACATATGCTGATAAGAGAGTGATCAAATGCACTCCTAGGCATCAATAGAAAGCTTCAAACAAACAATACCAAATGAATGAATGTCTTATGCTCTATCCATGTCGGGCTTGTTGATGTATACTGATGAGGCATCATATACTAGTATATAACAGTTCTCCAGTACTTCTTAATGTTGATTGCTTGTCTAAAAAAGGGAATTAGTTTATGATGTAAACTATGAGAAATCAAAATAGTCAGAATTCTCATACATTCGTTTTATACCATTAACTTTACTAAAAAAAGGAATTATGCAATCATCAACATGGCAGTATAGCGACTTATGTACAATTGAGTTTATTCTCATTTAACTCAGTTAAGCCCTTTTGTTAAGTTATTTAACGGACAAAGTCATCCATACTATAACAAGTCATTGCACCTTTATTATTATTGTACTTGTATGAAATATGTATGCTTGAGCATTGTTTACCACCTACTCATATATTCATTCCGCTAGCTTTATTATTAGTTGCTTAATCGGTTCGATGACCCGTCCATTTCCCTATATATATGTATATATGTACATTTACACCATACACACTGCTACTGCTACTACTACACTCGCAGTTGGCTGATTCATTCGTTTGGCCTCTCTGCTTTGTGGTTTGAATTATCTGCTAATAAAACTGTAGTAGCTGCTTCTTTTTACCTTCTGATTTAAAACACCGTGGAAGATTATATGACAACAGTACGAGGGTGATTAGTAATCGAAGCACAGCCATTACAACAGAATATTATCTTCCAAATTATATAACAAGTTGATTTTCGTTTATTGACTTAACTAGAATAGGGAAAAAAATGTATAATTTTTTATCCCATCGAAATATCATTAGTAAAACAGACAATAATAATCTTTATTTGTATGAAATTGGCAATAAAAAGTTCGAAAACAAAAAATGAACAACTCCTAATTCACTATTCGCCATGGTTACTACCACCTAAATTATTGTTGCTTCATTTGATAAAGCTGGGTGTTATTAAATTATTCTAATGAATATTTGTACTAAGTGTAGAGAGTAGTTATTATAGTGTTAAAATTACTTAGCCTACACAGAATTGTACTATTTTTATCTAAGCTTCAATTAGAACATGAAAAAAAAACAACAACCTACTTATCCCTATGTTTGTATTGACTTAAAAATTCATAGGATTATGTATAGAAATCTACAAGATCATAATACATTATTAATAATATTCATTATAATTAACAACTACTTAATTCAATAAGTAGTATGTTTGATTAGTTGAATGATTTCTTAGCATCAAATAATTAGTATTGTATAATTTTTTTATTTACATCTACATACACACATTGATTTCTGAATTCTGACTGACTGGTACGGTGTTCTAGACAGAGAATAGCTGATGATACCTAGTGGGGAGATCTAGAGGTCTTTCTGGAACGGATTCCGAGGCTTACTTACCCACCATGTAAATGTACTTTAGTGGGGACCGCGGCCTCACGAGTCTTTGCATGCATAATGGTATTGCACCAAAAGAACAAGTAATGAGATTTACGATTTACTTGTCCTGGATGTATATAATCTACTTGCATACTAGATAACACACAAACTTTCATCCGAATATCACTTGGCATACATAAAGCTATACAAACGTTGTGAGCAAATATACGCTGCATGCACACTGGCAACACAGGTTCTACCCCATGCATCCCATAGCATACACATAGGTATATTCGCCCATCTGGGAGGGTAGATGTTTACCGCTCCCAATGAAAACGTACTTACTACACCAGACTGACTCTTACACATTATATGCATATCACTCACACCATGGCTATCACCCCAGTATTTCATGACACACATAAGCATAAGCACTCTCTCAGAGTAGGTTATTGGTCGCCTCGCCCTGGTGTTTGCTACCACCTCTTTTTATTAAGTCCTCGACTTGATAGACAGATCGCTGATTTTATGAGACATAGGGCAGACATCTTTGCAGCTCAACGCTTCCTTTGTACGACACCATATGCGTACCCTTTGCAAATACCTATATACTTGAACTACATAGGTCCGAAAACTTCTGCAACTCTCACACATAAGAATACATATTGGTTAGCTTGGGCGGTAAAATGAGCCCTGGCTATAGTACAGAACTGGTCAGATACAACAGAGTGGGTGATCAGTCCGGTCTCTGCAACCATCTAAGTTGGCTGGTAGAGTTTCCCCCAATATCCAGCAGCACCAAAAAGAAACCTAAGGTCGGATTTTGCTGTATCCTTTTTTATGCATAAGTGATTTACTCAGATTCTATTTTCCTTCATAGCTTAATAAATTCGATGTGTGACTTCGAGTTCAATTCTTATTTCCCGAAGACCAGAACAAAATGAAAATGTACAAATAACCTGAGTTGTTCAGCTTGAATCATAGCAGCAAGAATATAGTTAAGGTAAAGATGTAATTAAATCAATCGAGACTAATTTCGAGCCACCCCTTAACCAATCAGAAGACAGCCTTTCTGAATAGATAATTAATTGAACAAGATGTTACATAATCACTTCCTCTACAAATTACACTGAATATATATTAAAAACCCAACGACATATAAATTTAGACCATTGCCTACATCTATAAAGATGCAGATTTCCCGTATCCTCGGACCTATATAAGCACGAAAATAGATTGCTAAGAGTCCCTTTTCTTTTTATAGTTAGGGTTACCAATTCATGGTAAAGGTTAAGTATTTTGGGTCACGACTTCTATGAATTGACATCGAATTGTTAGGATAGTCGGAAAAATATATCAATAATTATCGTGTTAAGTCTATGGTGGCCTTGGACCTTAAATGTACATTTCCTATTGGTCGATGTTTATTTCACTTGTTAAATATTGTGTAAATATTGTTCTCTATTTTATGGTACGGTGTGGTTTGTTTGTTTGGTATATAAATAGAGTATGTCTGAAATATAGCGATTCATAACTTTGAGGCTGTGACTTGTGTTCTTGACTCAACTGGCTAGGACAGACAGCGAAGCAGGGCCGATCAGGGCACTAGGTCGTCCTTACGTGTTTACGTGTCACTGTCACAGAAGCGATCGATAAATACGCTGCGCACCTACAGTCACCCATTACAACACGAATATAGTGTGCAATGATCTACAACCATATGGATGGATGAATTTCGCTCAAAAATCCAAAAGGTATTATCTGATTAACTCATCTACAAAATATAACCTCAAGGAATTTAGATTTGTTTCAGGATAATGAATTTGAAGTTATGATTTGGTAACAGTAATAAATACAATCTATAGAGACAATATTAAGTATATGATATGTTTAACACCATCAATTTTACTTCATGATGTCATAAAGTAATTCTTATTATCATTTTAAATGTACTTCAAGTGTTACATAATGATGTTCTCCTGGGTTTTGAATTTAGCTCAATAGCCTGGAAGTTATGTTTTCGATTCTAATTGGCTTATCCCTATGCTATACCTTTACCATCATAAGTTAGGGCGGCTTCAGTACATCAATCAATTAACATAATTAGTCAGTTAAAATAGATTTAAAATAAAAGACTGTTTTGCGATAGTCTCAAAATTTAAAAATAGACAGCCAAGAAGTTTAAATATACGGCTTTATTATCAAGAATTCACAACATTATTCCTGATAAAGACATTTATGGTACAAGTCTAAATTACAGAATTATCATTAATTTATTAGTTAAATTCATGTGCTGATTTAAGCTAAACCACCTTGGGAAACCTGGAAGCATTGAACGGCCGTTCCGTCCTATCATAGGACTCTTCAGCATTGCGCGTCCACGGTCCTGCACCAAGGGGACTCGAACCCACGATCTTCGATCTCATGCGTAAACTCTTAACCTCTAGACTACTGAATCGACTGGCATTCAACGGTGTTAATATCTAACTTCAAACAATCCATGGTATAACTACACGGTTACTCATTAGAACTTCACGAAACACATCTTGAAGCCAGTCACTAGTGTGCACATAATGTTTATTACCAGTGCTTCCAGGTTTTCCATGGTGGTCTGACTTAAATTCAACTATTAAATTACTACAATTTTCACAAACCCTCATTCTGATTATAATTCATTTACTACATTTTTTTAAAATAGAACAATTAATGTGCCAAATGAAAGACTACAATTAGATCATGATTTCCCAAACATATAACTTCTCAAATTTGTCATTCATATTCATAACCATCATTCAACTAATTTTACTCTTTGAGTTGTCAGAAAAATAAATCTTGTACAAAAGAATAATTGGGATTAATGAAGTGAAGAAGATCATTGCACTAGAGTAAATATAATTCTTGAAATGTTTCTACAATTAATATCAGTCTGTGACGAATAAAGTCTGCAGATTAAGTTAATCTCCATAATACACTTTCAACTAAACCTTGATGGATAACCCTGTTATAAAATGGAGAAAAAACAATCTTCAAAGTTTATTAGTTCTCAGTAGGATAAGTATCTACGTGTGTTGTAAGTGTATTGCACTCGCAAGTCAGGTATGTTTGTTAACTTTTGTATGTTAGTCAAACAATATTTACTGACGAGTGATAAATAGCATGAAACCTAAATTCAGGATTTCTTGTCGACCATCTAATATCCCAACATAATATATGTGCCATCAAGTTACTTAGACTTGGGCCACATTGCAACATGTTCGCTAGAATTCAATCAGCTCTAAGAAGAACTTAATATACATGGTACTAGTTACTACCCAGTGATTAATCGATTATAAATTTGTGAAGGTAAGTTCTACAATCACGCAATCCATTCGTGAATCATTCAACCATGCGAGTGTATAGTTTTTGGACTTGTAAATTTCGAATGATTTCAAATATGTAGAAATTATATTACCATTTCTAACATTAGTAAAGCTCAAGAAGATATTGTAGATTGCATGAACTGTGTTATAATTAAATTTCATAATTACGAGCAGTTAAAAGAATAAATGTAAGTTCAAGAAAATATTTTAAGATTACAAAATGATTTCTGTTTGTATAAACTTGGTTGTTAATCAGTATTAAAAAAAACATGATGATACATTCTAACCAGTGCTTCACATGATATTCAGTGAGTACTTAAATGAATTAACAACTAACTGCATCTTATAAGCAAATATAGATAGCGGCTAGCACTGGAATTCAGGACGCGCGTTTCATCCTATTTGAGACTCTTCAGCTGTATGTACCTTCAACTCCGAGTTGATGTTCACTCTGGGAAACGAACCAAGTAACGTTCGCTTCAAACTCCATCGCGTTATCCACTTAGCTACGGAGTCCTGATAGCCACTTGCTTGCGCAATGGGGTGAATCTAAGTTCAATTAACATCAACTCTGAGATGCAGGTACATCCAACTGATGAGTCCCAAATAGGACGAAATGCGCGTCCTGGATTCCACAGCTAACCATTATCTATCTTCGCTTATAAAGCTTGTGAATTAAGGCGATATCGAGGCAATACACACAGTAAGCACATATGCCAACAAGAGACTGATCAATTGCAGTCCTAAACCTCAATGAAAAGATTCAAGCAAGTAAAACCAAGTGAATTTGACTGCATTTTAGTTGAAATTATTCGATATTGCAACAGAAATTCTTATTGTTCATCAAGTAATCTTATGATGGAGTTATATTGTCTCAGATGAATGGCTTGATGATAAAGCTTTTATTACCGTAATTTTTGAAAATAGGCACCAATAATGTTGTCTGGCGTAAAAATGAAAGCTTTGTCATTAAACCACACAGCCTAGAATGTTAAGTACTATCGAGATAATTTATCTTGTATGAAAATCTCCTTCTCATCCATAGGAGCTAAGGTTCTGTGAGAAAACGTCATTGGTTCAAAACTGCCACAATAGTCTAAGTTCTTTTTCTTATTTAATCTCTACTAGTATTGTATACACACACATACCGCAGTTACTAAACCCGAATTGTTCTATACACTGTAAATATTATAGTTTAGTGTTTCTTTGACTTTAATTCATTAAGGTTTATTTATTCTTTTTTTGAATTTTTTTTCCAATTAGGTACACATCAGAAAAATTCAAGATCTTGGACAAACGAAAATGAATCGGCCGTAAACGAACAAAGCGAACGTCAAGGTTTGTACAATCTCTGAAAAAAACATTTATGAACCTTGTCCTTCAAAATATTCTCACTTTCATAATCATGGTTTAGACTATCAGTAGTGATCCATAATGGATGGTACAGATGTGTTTAGTTAGTTTGTTGTAAATAAACTTTAATGAGACAAAAGAAAATATCTGATTGTTTCACATTTCTATTAAACTGTCACAAGACTAAAATATCGTCACTTTAAAGTTACTGAACAACTAGTCTTTTTAGTTCACTTGGTGTTGTTTCACTTGTATCTTCCCATTATTATTTAAGACTGTAATTGATCAGTCTCATGTTTGCATATGTGCATCCTGTGCGGATTACCTCGATATAGTCTTCTTAGTGTAGAATATTTACACATTAGTACAATTACTGAACTGTAATAGGATGTTAGGAATACCACTTCATTAGTAATAACAATATGTCCAGTTAAGATTCGTTGTATAACTCCTCTATTCATATATATTAGTACTTAGCTTCAACAAAGATGTACACTTTTTCCGAATAAATTAATTGTGGCTAATATTGAAATTAAAAAACACGAAGTTCATCGAACGGATCTCTTCTCAACGAATTCATTATCAAATCGCACAATCGTATATAAATATGAAACATTCATTGTTAAAGTACTAGTTCCATGAGGAAATGTGAACAGGGAATAACCAAGATTTTATAATAGAAAGATTACAATACTAGATTACGTAATACGAATAATAATCGTCTTAATAAGTTAATAACGAATTATAATGTGAATGTAGGAAGGTGATTAAAATGTTTTTGTTACAGTAATTAAAGGTCATTAAAGGACATAGAGATGTAAAGAAAAATAAGTAAAGTGATATCATAAGCCCACATGTCACAACTATTATAAAATTATATTACAGCAGTTTACCATATTTAGTTTACAACTCCGATATTTTCACGATTATGATCATGAGCCAATCTAAGATAAACCACAAGTGAAAACATACATAAACTGGAAGGACATTTTGTCGTAGTATGAGACTTGTCAGCAGTGCGCACCCACGATCCCTCACGTATGACTCAAACTCAAGACCTTCGATGTCGCACACAGCGTTGTTCGCGTTTAACTTAAACCAATCCATGATCTTGCGCAACGATTCATTGATTGCTTGAGGTGGATATCTGTCTCATATTTGACACAGATTAGACTCACCTAGTCACGACTTCTCACTAGAACTCCATGAGTTACATCTTAAAGCTAGTCACAAATGCACACATGATTGTGAGAGTTTTTTGTTATTATTTAAGTGATATTTTTTAATAGAAAACTCTGCATTATTTAGATTGAGTTTAATGAATAATTGGGAAAACATTGACAAGAAAACCAATGCACTGATTGGAACAAAGTGACGTTTTTCAAGATATTGTTTTCACTAAAAGAAAAATACAAACAAGAAATGAATTGTTCAGTTATACTCCATCTTATTGGGTAGTTGATTGGAGGTCTGTATCATACATTTGTTAGTAGAACATGCTGATGAAGACACTCGTGGAGAAAATACAGTTTTTCTCGAGTGAAATTCTGCCTTTTGGCGAAATTCATCCATTTTCGAATAATGAGAAGCGTACTACTCTCATATGATTCTGAGTTAGTGGAGAAGATTTGTAACTCAAGTGGATGATTTCGATGGAGTTTTGTTCTCTGAGTTGGATGGTTTAGTCGTAGAGCTTTCATCGTTCTTCTGAACGACATCATCAGCATAAACTACAAATAGATGATTTTGGTCAGAAGAACGATGAAAACTCCACGACTAAACAATCCTGCTCAGAGAACAAAACTCCATTAAGAAGAAATGGATTGAAACATAAACCAATAGTTGAATTCAGTGCATTCATTGTAAAGTGATCTTCGAAATCCCCATAAAATGCATTCTTGCCAAATTATCTTTTATCTATTTTTTCTTATGCTCTTTGCCTTTAGGCTGATATTATTGTTATTACATTTATGTGCATATATCTATGCATATGTATATGCTCCCCTTCATATGAATATATTGATTGGTAGACAAATCAGTATTCATGTACAAAGATAGACATGTAATAACAACCAATCATAATTCAACTCTCTCTCTCTCTCTATATATATATATATAAATGTATCAGAATGCTTCAACTCAATCAATCAATCAATCAGTAGTATCCAACCTGATCATCACAAATTACAGATTAATTCTATTTTAATTCATTTAAGAGAATGAGCAAAATTTGGACGGAAAAAAATAAAAAAAATAAAAGATTATCCTTGATAATATTTTATTCTCTTATATGAAAATATAAATTTTGTTTGTGTTAAATGTATTTTATTGATTTTGTTGTTGTTGTTGTTACTAACTGAATTATTGATTATCATTTTTTTATGTTTGTTTTATATAATTATAATTAGTCATTTATTTCAAATCATTTATTATTCTAATTATGTTATGAAATTCTTAAACTTTTCATTTTCATTTCTGTTGTGTGTTTTTTTTTGTTGTTGTTGTTGTTGGTTTCCTTTTTTCTTTCCTTTTCTCGTTTCTTTTCTTTTCTTTCATTTTTTTCGCTTCTTTTTTTTCTTTTTTCTTCTGGTAGAATTTAATCACTATGTGTGTTTTGAGAATATTTATTAAAAACACCAATGAATGTCATAAATTAATTAACATATGCTTTCTAGTATATCAGTTTAATATTATAATAATAAATCAATAAGGAATATTCAATAGAGAATGTCAAAGATGAATATGAAAGTAGATCGTTTTTTTTGTTTTTAAAATCTTGAAATAATACTTGTGATGGTTGTTATTCAATATAATCCTTCATCTTGATAATGGTTACTAGATAACGCCTCAATGGTGTATTAATCAGAAGGTAAATACAAAGTATTGATTTCGTATACAATTCATCTTGATAATAGTTAATAGATAACACTTCAATGGTGAATACAAAGTGTTCATTACGTTTTTATTATTGTACCATACACAGATATCCTAATCTACATGAAAGAATAGTGCCGAAAAGCTAACAGACAAACGAGTGAGTATGTAAGTTGAATGAGCGAGTGTAATAGCGAATCAGCAAGACAATGAACATGATTAAAATGAGGCTAGCAGGGTGAATATATGCTTAGACGGTAAGCTATGCTCAAGTTTACATATTCATAGAAGTGTAACAATAATAAAGGTACAATGATATAGATAAGGTGTTACTGTACTGACGACTCTGTTCGTTAAATTAGTTAACAAAAGAGTTTAACCAAATTAAATGTGAATAAACTCAGTTGCATGTGAGCTGCTATAAGTAATTAGATAATTAAACTAGAAAAATCCTAGAGTCTGAATAAATCTCCGTAAACTAATAATAATAATCATGTTCTTACTAGTGACTAACCTCGTGATTTAACCCTTGAAGTTATAGTGAAAAGCCACGACCAATAGAGTCCAACCATCTCAGATGTGAAACACAAAATACATGATAATTGCTTAAGTTCGTAAATTGATTGAAGTCAGATAGTGACACTGTTAAATGCCAGCTGAGTAGTCTGGAGGTCAAAAGTTCATGAGTGAAACCGAAGGTGCTTGCTTTGCTTCCTGGATAAGAGTAGTGAATGTGTACTTGTGAGTAGTTCGATACGAGGACGAAACGATTATCCAGTGCTTCCATGTTATCAATAGTAGTCTAACTAAGAACATTTCGTATTTTAAACTATGAATATTAGAGAACTAATGAAAACTAGAAATCTCATGATTTGACGCACGATTGAGCTCAAGACGTTAGCATTTTGTTGTAATCATAATACTATACCAAATTTAGTTAATGAATAAAATTGCACGGTTTAAGTCAAACCAATATCTCCAAGTTAATCCACAATTATCGATTGTAATCAGACATTAAAATTCTCGTAAATACCAACTAAATTAGATCACTAAATTATATAGTCTATTAATGAATAATCTACATTACGCTAATCAAACCAATGAACGACTTTTGATTCGACCGATGTCACAAGTACTTTCCATCAGCAACTTGAGATCTTAACGCCGATTTGTCCACTCAACTTCTATCCTTAATGATCAACTGGAACGATAAAACAGCCAACAAATTTATTTCTTATTATCTTAATATTATTATTTTAACTAAAAATACACTATTCTATGCATCAGTTACACGATCTCAACGTCCCACAAATAGAAAGTTAAAATTTATGCAACAACTAATCCATTTGTGCTACAAAACTGAACGATAATTGTATAATTTAATAGTTAAATTCATGAGTCAACTGAAGTTAGACCACCATGGAAAACCTGGAAGCCCTGGACGGCCGTTCCATCTTAGTATGGGACTCGTCAGCAATGAACATCCACGATCCCGCCTCGCGAGATCCTAACCCAGGATCTATCAGTCTCGCGTGCAAACGCTCAACCTCTAGACTACTGATTCGACCGTCATCCAATAGTTTTAATGTCTAACTTTAACCAATACACAAAATTGCTCCACCGTCCACCATTGTCTTCAATGAGTTACTATCTCACAACAGACCTGGTTGATGCGCAATGCTGTGAAATCCCATACTAGGTTTCCCATGATGGTCCAGCATTAATTGACTCGTGAATTCAATGATTAAATTACTACAATCTCTACAAAACCCCTTTCTAATGATAGTTGTATAATTAATTAACAGTAATTTATCAATCAATAAATTCAAGGAAAGCTTATAAATAGGATAATATGAGAATATCATACACTAAGTATTTCATAGTTATACCCAAAAAACGGGGGGGTGATTATAGATACATATAATTCATTGTATAATATTTCACCTATTTCAATTATACGCCCATATTTCAAATATTCATTTTAATAAATCACCCATGTAATGAATAGAATTTACAAAATACTGTAAACAATCACTAATGGATTGAAAAATAGTAATTTTCTATATACAATAAATATTAATGGTTATAAAATATTACAAATATCAACTATAGAAACAATCTGTTTTGTATTTTCATTAGTTGATCAACTAAAATATTCACATATTTAACAGTAAACTATTGAGTTAAGACCAACTATCACCATGAAGGTACATTTCCGATTCGACGTTCTATGACACCTGGTTCCCACTTCCTATTACCTTGATACGATCTGACAAATACTCTTTCACCCACCTGGAAGCTACGAGTGACCGTACGATATTTATTCGTGGGTTTATTTGTCTTTCTGGGAGGCAACATACTGTTAAAGACTGTCCGGATTTTCCTTCCGAACATACACTTGCCCTGCGACTTTCCTTCTGGTACTGCCGGATTGGGGGTAACTCTGTAAGACATTAAGAACTTATTGATCGCTTGTTCCAGGATATCCTCAGGCAAGATACTCAACATTCATTGGCTGGATACCATCAGTAACAGCCTTCCCTAGGACAGAACAAACTAGCTTCAATCTCAAGAGGAAATTAGAAAAAGACGATGGAAATAAATAAAACATACGTTATGCAAATCATCAAACTGTATCATGAGGCAAGCCCTAACTTGGAATCCTGAAGGGACGTGGAAAAGAAAAGGGCCAAACAATACGTTACGTCGGGAAATAGAATCAGATATGAAAACGATGGATAACAACTGGAAAGAGCTGGAAAGAATTACCCAGGACAGGGTTGGGTGAAGAGTGCTGGTGGGTGGTCTATGCTCCTCCACGAGGAGTAACAGGTGTAAGTCACAGTAACATTGAGTTAAGATATATTTACAGTAATAGCAAAACGATTTTAATTCCTCGTTGTTTATATTCTGAACTTCTGTGGTGCATGCTACTTATGCTAACAGATATAAGTAGTATGCAGTGGTAATCGGAAGTGGAATAGATTAAAGTCGCATACTGAAGTGAAGAGAATAGAAAAGAAATCAAAGAGCAATCAAAATTATGATAGAATTAAAGGAATAATGAAGTATGTAGATGATAATTCAAAGAAGATATGCAAACGATATGTTTAATATATGATTTTTATATTTAATCTAAGATATTGGATACAAGTTTCAACATGGATACCAGTAATAAGATATGATTGGCATATTCAACTGACTAATCCTTAACAGAATAAAATGTTTTTGATTGAGATCATGAACCGATTGATGTCAAACCACCTTTGAAAACCTGGAAGCACCGGGAAGCCGTTTCGTCCTATTGTGGGACTCCTCAGCAGTGCGCATCCACCATCCCGCTCCCGGGATTCGAACCCAGGGCATTCGGTCTCGCGTGCGAACGCTTAACCTACTGGACCATTGAGCTGGCATCCAATGGTAATAGTGTCTAACATCAACCAATCCACGAAATTGCGCGACCATCTTCCATTGTACTGAGGTAGATACTTGACCCTACCCGACGTGGATTAGCTACACTGTTCACGACTTCTCAGTAGAACTCCGAGAATTCCCTCGTGAGGGAATAATCTCCACAACCCCTATAGTAGAATAAAATTTTCCTGATAGATTACACCATCAAATCTATTTAAACCTCTCTATTAAATGACATTAATTTTTCATAAGAAAGTGTTTCTACCCCCTACTCCCACCCCTCATTCGATACTGATAATTATCCAGTGGTAAATATCTTAATAAAAAATAATTTAGAAGAAATTTTAATCTATTAACGATGAGGTCATTTCATATTAGATTTTATGCTAAATAAAAAATAAATCTTTTATTTCTATGGCCTTATTCTGAAAGAATCCACAAAGTTATCTATTGTTGATTAAGATTAATTGAAATAGAAACATAAAATTTAAATTGGATACATTATTTAAACCAATTCAAACGAAATAAACCATCCACTCAAATGGAAAAGTTCTTTTTCTTTTTCTTGAATGAAAGATATTACTTAATGTTAAAACTAGAATTCTCGGAGTTCTAGTGAGAAGTCGTGAACAGTGGAGCTAATCCATGTCGGGTAGAGTCAGGTATCTACCTCAGCACAATGGAAGATGGTCGCGCAATTTTGTGGATTGGTTGATGTTAGACACTATCACCATTGGATGCTAGCTTAGTGATCCAGTAGGTTAAGCGTTCGCATGCGAGACCGAAGGCCCTGGGTTCGAATCCCGGGAGCGGGATCGTGGATGTGCACTGCCGAGTAGCCCTACAATAGGACGGAACGGCCGTCCAGCGCTTCCAAGTCTCCAAAGGTGGTCTAACATCACTCGGTTCATGATCTCAATCAAAAACTTAAAAATCTCCACAACCCCTATACTAGAAAACTGGTTAAAACTAAGACTTTTATGTTGCTTATTGTGAAGTCAAATAGGACATAAGTCACTTCTTACTTTGTTAATTGATATTACT